TCCTCTCTCTCCTCCTCTCTCTCTCTCTCTCTCTCTCTCTCTCTCTCTCTCTCTCTTCTTTCTAATTACTTCGCGCGGCAGTCTATCCATAAAGCACGGCGTGATCCACACATTTCCCTGTTTAACAACTGTACCTGTCTAAAGTGTGTCGTTTAATTAAATCTATTTTCTACGCTCTGTGCCAGCGTCGTGTTTGGCGTTTTACATTGATAGATGAAAATGCCGATGAATCTCTTCGCGCGCAAAACGCGGCGTGTATCGCCCGGAATACGATCGGGCCGCAAGAAAAGAAAGCACACTTGGGGATTGCGCGACACTTTTAACTTTTTCCAGACGAAAGACAGAGATGTGTAGCCTTAGACTCCGTTTCTCTCGTTCTTTTCAGCGCCCGGTGGATGTGACATTATCTTCTTAAGAATAAAAACCGTGCAGGAAAATATAATAAATGCATCGGAAAAGTGTATGTGTGTGTTTCCCACCCAATTGCAGATTCGAAGAGTTTCGGATATGTGTGTTTCGTCGTTTTTGCATAACGGAAAAGGAGACTTAAAAACAATCTAGATTTGATGATAAGTCACAAGTTATATAATTGAATTTGTTGGTGATAACTGATGAGTTAATGAATCATAATTAACATTACAACAAAGATTTTAAGCGGAAATATCTCTTCAGCGAAAGAAGCACTTCTGTTGAAGAAAGTATGAGAATTACGAATTATTCTCTCAACAAAAGTTGCTTTCCAATTCGTAATTTCAGTCAAATATCTTATCACATTATTTTCGTTTCGTAATACATGCAGAGAGATTTTTCGGTAAGTAATATTATTAATGTCCATTTTTATCAATATAGATTAATTTTAATCCCGATTTAACTTATCTTGGTTCAATCCTTAAAATCGAAAAACGATAAGAAATAAATTAAACCGAAATTAATATTAATCTATATTTGTAGAAGAGTGGACACAAATTACTCTGAATGTGCATCTACGGGGGTAGATTGAGAACCTTCAAACAATAAAACGTCGACTTTATCGTAATATATCATCTAAATTTTATTTTACAAAGCTTCATTTGAATTTTTGGGGAGATCTCTTAGAGATTTGTGAGGGAGACTACTTTCAGGTTCTTTATCACCGATACGTAGTCATTGCTCCAAGTTGATTGCTATATCATAAAACGAATGGAAGAAAGAGAGAGAAAGAGGACTCGAGGAGATGATCCTCAGGTCCATCTATCCTGGGCAACGCTCGACAGCAACGCGCGAGAAACGCGAGAACCGTAATCGGACTCGATAATACTCGCGGCATTCGAAGAATGGCATTCAACGATAATGAAAAAGAGCTGTACATATATGTGCGTTTATTATTATCTACTTACTGTTACGAGACTTACTCCTAAGATCTTTTGGCTAAAAATACTTTATAGAAGCGACATCACGCATGGAGAACGACAAAAGAAAAAAAAGTGCGAGGACCGCATCGCATACATTGTTTAGCGCCATTGTGACTCTATCCTCTTCTTAAAAGAAATAAGGATATATATATACATATATGTATATTAAATATATGTATATATATATATATATATATATATATATATATATATATATTAT